GGAATCCGTTCTGAATCCGCCTATCGCTCGTATTAGTCGTTACCGCTCTAATTACACAATACAAGATTCCAAGACAGCACAAACATTTAGTGTGAAAATCTGTGCTGGTGGCATTATTGGGATACAATTAGTAACAAATATAAGTAATTACGAAACAAACCTTCGGCGTCGATATCCATAATTTTGGGCCGTACGCTTACATTTGACATCAGTACGAGTGGTTCATTCAGATGGCAGACGCATGGAGAATCAAACACACTCTAGAAGTGGAACTTTTTTTACTCGCAATCCAAGTAACGCATTTGCAAATCATTGAAAAATTAGGTTTTAGTTGTAGCCCGTAATTCACATTACGTCCTCAGCAGCAAAATACATAAACAGTACAAAAACTTCGTCAATTTGCTATAATTTATGGATAATTTAGGCTGCATGCCTTAGGATCAGTGATAATTGGAGCGTCATGGCTGATTTGAACAAGCTTCTCGAATGACTGAATTATGAAGACCACCGAAATCAATGTTGCAAAAGCTTCTTCCGTAAACCTGAAAAATTCAGTGAACTTTTGTTAATGCAGTTTTAAGCTGGGGAAAAAAATTTTTCAAATTTCACTACTACGGCTAATCAAAAATCCTGGAAAGATGGACTGCTAGCGAAGACTTTTTATAGTTATTCAAACTGTCAATCCACGAAGCTTAGCCTGGAAGCGTCCCAGTAATATCACTTACGTGGGACATCCACATTGGCAGCCTAAGACGCTATAACATTCTTGATATTTAAAGTATCGAAATATTAAATTTAACATAGCAAAGATCAAGACTGAGATAAACGGATCTATTCGAATGGCTAGGAATGAAGTTAATTGGATGCGGAAAGATCTAGGAAAGCAGAGTGGAGAAGCTGCTATTACGGTAAACAGCGAGAAGGAGCAAAACGATGAAACAACGACTAATTCAGAACATTTAACCTGATCGAAGTAACAACTCTGGTAATTTGAAAGTCCGGTACCTGGTAATAAGCCCAACAAGCGCTGACATATCTGTAGCAACCAACAAAATTAGTACCACACCAATCCACACAGCAACCCAAAACCGAAACGGCAGGAACTCCCAACCATTTGTGCTGAAAAACAAGAGATACAGCCAGTAACAGGAAAAAATTTATGGTTTTCAAATTTTTAGGGATTTTAGACTTCGTCTTTTTTACAGCGGAAAACTGGTGCATTCGGGCTTGGGCACTTTTTTCAACTAAGAAATATATGGACACCTCCTCCTGTTTGCTTGTAATTGCAATTACGCTTAGAGTGAAGATCGCAAACAAAGCAAGTATTGCCGTGGTA